GGTTTAATGTCAGGAGCCCGAGCGTGTACACCTGGGCTAGGAACAAAAATTACCTGAGCCTCCACAACTGTTAATTGCATTGGCCTCACTGCAAGCACAGATCACTCCCTCTAGCGCAATGAGAGAGTGCAGCCTCGAGCAGCTATTCCCCAGGGCTGGGCATCTCTTAGTATAATTTTCCTCAGTTGTGACTCTGTACTTCAACAGAGCCACCCCCAAGCACACTCTGCTCAAAGACAGAGATGCAACTGAGAGATGATAAATATACATTTTACAAACTACTTTAGAGTAATTTGTATTTATACGTGAGGTCAGGTTGTGACACAAGGTCAGTTTAATGTAGGGAGTCCGCATGCATACACCCTGATTAGGAACAAAAATTGCCTGAGACCTTGCAATCATTGTTGCACTGTCCTCAGTGTGAGTACCAATCTCTCTCTTTAGTACAATGAGGGCACAGCCTCAGGTAGATGTTCCCCAGGGCTGGGCACTTCTCAGTATAATTTTCCTCAGTTGCAACTCTGTCCTTTGACGGAGTCGCCACTGAGTGCACTCTGCCCAAAGGCAGAGACGCAACTGAGAGATGATAAATAAGATGTTACAAACTACTGAAAAAAAAAAACAGTAACTACAAAGGAAGACTTCCAATAAGCTGGAAAGCAGGAAACAACAAGGCAATAGTTGTAGAGTTTGGAGAGAACTGGAGTCAGCTCGGGAGCACATTTCTTTATGATAATTGCTGGTATTCCATCATCTCTGCTTTGCCTTATGGGAATCTAATTTAAAAATGATGGCTGAGACGAGTGGTGTTGTTATGTGCATATCACTCTGTTTTAGGGAAATCAGGTGTGGGTACTCCAAATGATTCAAGTGTTGAGTTGGAAGTGAATTTCTGAGCAAAGCATTCAACATTATCTGCCACCAATAATCTCTAGAACCGAACTTGTGAGATGCTATACATTGTTTCAACACCATCACTTGATAAAACACCAGAAGAGTTGAAACAAAATGGCTATTTTTGTAGTGATTTAATAACATATAACATGCTATAATTTTCAAAGAAATTATATTTGCTCTACTCTGTATAGAGCACTCTTTTAAACAGTATTTTTTGGTTATTGGAATTTATTCCGTATACACCAATCTATACTTGAATATATATATATATATATATATATATATATATATATATATATATACATACATACAGTGTGCAATAGGTGAATTGTCACAATTTATATTTTTAATTTCATCCATGCGCATTGTTTATTTTTGATTTTGTCAACTGGGAAAAAGTTTGATGATATATCCAGTCAACATCATGGTGTCTGGAGTGATCACTAGTGATGGCGATATTATGCCTCCATTCATCTGCCCACAATGCTTCAGACTCAACACTGAGGCCTACATCTAGTGCCTTGAGGAGGTAGTGCTGCCCTGAGTCAAGAGTGTGTTTGCTGGAAGACCCTATGTCTAGCAACAGGACTCTGCACCATACCACACAAGCAGGAGAACCCAGTCATAGCTGTGAGATAATTTCTGCGACCACATCACCCCTTACATCTGACCACCTAACATCTCAGACTGCAAACTCTAAACACCTTTGTAATCACCATTAGGCTTAGCCAACTATTTCCAAATCCTCTGCACTGTCCACAGATTAACACCCAAACACTCTGAAATGTTTGTATTGGAGCTTCTGCTGTAAATACCAAGAAGGATGTTTCCAAATTTTCTGGAGGAGTGATGGTGCTCTTTTTCTCACAGATGGTGCCCAACAATATTGAAAACAAATAACATGCATACATGAAATTGAAAATACAAAATGGTGACAATTTACTGATGTCACCCTGTACATGTCAACTAAATAAAATCAGCATGAAGAATATTTTCTCAAAATATAAGCATTAGTCATTTACAATATCAATTATTTTAAAAATGGACATTTATTGAAGTAATTATTATTTAGTAAACTAAATTAAAAAAATCAGTTTCAAAATTCAAATCAAAATTTCAACTTTAATAAAGTGAACACATAAAATAATTGGCAAACATGAATAAACATGCCTGCAATAAGACATTGAAAAGAGGACATGTTTTTCCGTAACATTGCTTTTTTAACTGCTTTCAGTAATAAAAAAGACAAAAATATCAAACATTATTTATTAGATTGTATATTTACAAGAATAATTTTATATTTGCATTCTAAAAACTAATACAATTAAAACTAATGCAATGTAATATTTATCATTTACCAATTTGCTCTCCTTTACCCACCACAGAGAACATTCCCTGCCTCCCATCAGAATGGCTGATTCCCAACTCTTCGAGAACACCTCGCTCTGCCTGCTTGGTCCAGAGAGATGAGGTGGAATAAATACATTGAATCAATAGCTTCATCTACAGCAAAGAAGATTGGTTCTCTGTGTCATGCCAGAAAGTTTTTCTCCTTGAGGTTCATCCTTCAAATCTATAAATCAACCATCCATCCTTGTATGGAATATTGCTGTTATATATGAACTAGCGTGCCTGCTATAAATCTTGAGGTCCTTGACAAAATCCAGAGATGAATATGCAATGTGATAGGTCCTGATCTGGCATCTAGTCTACAATCGCTTTCCCACAGATGTGCCATGACTTTCCTCTGTCTCTTCTACAAGTATTTTCACGACAACTGTTCCGATGAGCTATTCCTGCTGGTTCCCAGATTGCATGAACTTAAGCAAGCTACCAGACTGGCATCTTGGTTCCACCTTTTCACTGTCAAGATGGTTAAATGTGACTATCTCTTCTAATCAAACAGCTTCTTCTCTTGTACTTCCAATCTGTGGAACTCCCTTCCCCCTGTAGAATAACAATAATAAACAGCACTTACTGGCGTAAAGGTCCCAGCTAGCGTCCAGCTGGCAGACAAAAATAAAGCAGGTTGTAACTTAATACAAACCCTGCAAACTAACTGATGAATCAAGCTGGTATTTATATAGAAATACCTCACTCAGGTACCCAGCCAATCACAGCCCAAGCAATGGACTATCCCACTTTAGCACAATGAGATGCTCCATGGCAACATAAATAGCTCTCTTTCTAAAGGTTGGATTATTATTCACTTAGCTTGCTCCACAACTGAGTGTTTATCTCTACCACGTGATTTTTCTACATGGTGCTGTGAGAAGGATTCGAACCTACACGGGCAATGCCCATTGGATTTCTAATCCAATGGGCATTATTGCTCCACAATTGAGTGTTTATCTCTACCACATGATTTTTCTACACCCCCTACTTCCCCCCGATGACTATAATCTTCAAATATTCAAGTGTAATGTCAATCAACATCTAACACCCTGAGCTTGTTCCCCATCCTTCTCTGTATCCTTTCTTCAAACACACCTCTTTACTCTCGTTCTCAATCCTCTATAACCCCTTGCATGCTAGTAGAATTCCCGCTTTGCTTGGGGTGAATTGCTTTAAAAAATGAATAAAAAAATAAATATATATGAAAACAATTTTTATTCATAAATTTATAAACATTTACTAAATTATTGAAATATGTGAACCAACTATAAGGAAATCCTAATTATTTACCATTTTATAAAGTTTGAATTGATTGGCAATTAGCTAGATTTGTAAACCATTCCAATAAGCAGTGCAAATAAACAATCTAATAAATAAATAGTGTTTATTATGTTTGTTTTCAATTCTCAAGGACAAAAAAATGTATAAATTCACTTTCATCATATGTCTAGGTTTTATTACAATTCTAATCATCATTTTTTAAAACAATGAACATTGTCAAAGAGTAAAAGTAGTTAAAAAAGCAGTGTCAGGAAAAATTGTCCTTTTCATATTACATCTTATTACAGTCACATTCGTCCATCTTTGTCAAAAAATTAAATAAATTGTTATTCATTTATTTCTCAAAAATTTCTATCATTAAAAAAATTATATTAAAATCAAGTAACAAAGACTTTTAACATTTTAAAAGATTTAATATTCAAAAATTAATGATTTCTAAAGTTTGAGAATTTTTTTTACTTCCAATTATGAAAAAAAAAAGATTTTATTTACATTTGGTCTATTGTCCTTATCTTTATTGTTGCTATCACATTTGAGCTGTTGTGCCTTCTGACCTTTATCAAGTGCATCACTTTCTCACAGACGTGATGTGGCTTCCCTCTGTCTTTTCTACAAATATTTTCATGGCAACTGCTTTGATGACCTACTTTCACTGATACCCCAACTGCATGAATTTAAGCGTGCAACTAGATTGGCATCTAGGTCCCACCCTTTCACTGTTGAAATAGTTAAATGTAACTGCCTCTTCTACTCCAACAGCTTCTTCTCTTGCACTTCCTGCCAGTGGAACTCCCTTCCTTTTACTTGCTTCAATGATAGCTATAATCTTCAAATATTCAAATGTAATGCCAATCGACATCTTCTGATGCCTTGATCCTGATCCCTGTCCTTCTCTTTATCCTTTCCTTAAATACCCCCCTCTTTACTCTTACTCTCACTCTCTGTAACCCCTTGCATGCTAGTGGCATTTCCGTCTTGCTTGGGGGTGAAATGCTTAAAAATATATATATATATAAATCCAGATAACCTATAGGGAATTCCAAACTGAACTCTTTATTTAATCTATGGGGGTAGACTGTTCTTGTTTCACTGCTCATGTCTAGGAATATCTCCTCTAGTTCTAAATTTTTAATATGGCTCAGTAATTTCTTGCCCATTTTTAATAAGTACACACTGCTTCTCCCAGGAATTGAACTCACCAAATTCATGAACTAATGGATTAATCTACTAGGTTAGTGTCTTTTGACACTATAGATTACCTGGATCGATATACACCTGATGAAGCACAGAAGGTACAACATTAGAAATCTTGTAATGATAAAAATAAAGATGAGGATAATAGTCTGCTTGTAAATAGTGTAAATAATGATAACGCCACATCCTACAAATTAGGAACAGATTTTGTTAATTATTTTATATCTACTTACTTAGAGGTTAGTACCTTGGAGCAACTAATGTTTTCTCCAATGTCACAGGCTGCTTTATAGGACGGATCATGTTCTTTCCTGACTTCTATATAAAGTGCATAAAGTGAAACAATTATCCCAAAGATGCACAAGAATATTCTGTCAGCAGAATTGGACAGAAAAAAATAATCTGCTTCTGGAAGGCCCATTGCTGAAAAGTAAACAAATGTACTTAAAAAAAATGTACTTATGTAAAAACTTTCAATAATAGTTTAATGTATTATGAATCATATATTAAAAATCTATTTCCTAATATTCATTTGTTCCAGCAAGATAGGATGTCTCATTGGATAAATTTTAAAAATAGGAAAAATACCTTTTTTTTTTGTCTTATTGTTTGGATGATTTATTTCTTTTTTTTACAGCTTATCAACAATTTAAAGCCAGAAAATAATTTTAGAATCTAAGAATTTTTTTTTTTGAAGGGCAATAATAATGAAATAAAAACAAGTATTACTTATTAATCCATAGTTGGGGGAGAAGAGGTGGACTCATGCCTTTCCCTAGGGTATTTGCACATAAATGAATATGTGTCATTGGATGTGTCATTGGATAAATTTTAAAAATAGGAAAAATACCTTTTTTTTGTCTTATTGTTTGGATGATTTATTTCTTTTTTATAGCTTATCGACCATTAAAGCCAGAAAATAATTTTAGAATCTAAGAATTTTTTTTTTTGAAGGACAATAATAATGAAATAAAAACAAGTATTACTTATTAATCCATAGCTGGGGGAGAAGAGGTGGACTCATGTCTTTCCCAAGGGTATTTGCACATAAGTGAATATAACAAACCGTACTAAGAATGGAACATGGCTCTCTAATTTCCAATTCTGAGCCATTATCTATTACACCAACCCTCACATCCAAGCTTACAACACCTGGTATTCCCAAGTGACATTGCTTAACATTGGTGATCATATGAGAACCAGTGCTTTAACATGATATGGCCATAAGTCTTGTGTTTTAGAATAGGCTATTGTAAAGGTAGGGGATATCACAAGAAATCAGGTACTGACTGGAGCCGTAGAAGGAACCAACCATTTCCCCTGTATCTTTAGTGATGGATCATATGTACAAGTTCCTAAAAGTTGATCAAGTCACTGTGCCTCCCTGAGGGGACATTCATTCATCATGATTGATTCATTCAGGGTCCAATTGGCGATGATGAAATATAACTAGTTTGGTTTTTGACACATTGAATGTAACAAACCAGTTTTTTCTTCACTGAGATTTATGTAAAGTAAAAAGAGGGTTGGTCCAAGAAGCAACCCCTGTGTTGATTGCTAGGGCCCCAGAGGTCTGGTCCTTAACAACTACCTTCAGGGGCTTACTTGTTAGGAAGGACTTTATTATTGAAAAAACTCTTCCAGTGATTCCATAGTTAGAGAGCTTGAGCAGCAATCCTTTGTGCTGTACCTTGTTAAAGGTTTTTGAAATATCTAATGTTATGGTCCTTGGTGTGTATTTGTTGTCTATTGTCTCACTGATTCTGTGAGATATGATAGTTAGGACATCAGCAGTTGATCAGGCTGACTGACATCCATACTGTTTGTCAATCAAGAGGCTTTTCTCATCTAGGTGCTCAACAATATATATATATATATATATATATATATATATATATATATATATATATATATATTGTTGAGCACCTCAACAGCTTTTGGAAGTAAAGTCTGATGATCCAGAACCCTGTTAAAGGGGTTATGGTGAAATAGCTTATTACATGGAATCTTAACGTGGTCTGTCTTTTATTCAAACAAATATATATATATATATATTGAAAAACTGAAAAATTAATTTCGGTTGAGCTCTCTGGGGAGGAGGTTTGGGTTTGTAAACAGTGAATATTATAGCTGATAAAGTGGGACTCTTCGGCAAAAAGCGAATTGAGTCACTGTCGGTCACTGTGTGTGTTTATCTAAAAATAAATACACTAAAATTCACCTTCCTCCCTGCTGTGCGCCGATAGCTTAGTGGTAGAATCTCCGACTGACACCAATTCAGTCAGGTTTCAATCCTAGCTAGAGGCAACCGGATGTCTAGCCACACTGAAGAGCTGTGAAACAGCAAAACAGTCTGTCTGTGGATGACTTATATCTCATATATATATATATATATATATATATATATATATATATATGTGTGTGTGTGTGTAAAAATATATAGAAAATGGGAAAAGAACTCATTAGGTAAATAATGTAGCGATAGAATCATATTTTAAATAAATAATTATATATATATATATATATATATATATATATATATATATAGAGGATTAATATGAGTAAAGTTTGTCAATTAGCTGATATATATTACCTTCAACATCCCAACTCCAGAGTTTCATGAACATACCTGTTCATCAACTCTTCTGGGGGTATCAGCAATTCACTGCTTATATTTTTTGAATTTTTCTTTTTATATACATTTAGCACTGGTGTAAATTTTCTTCTGTATTTTCTGTGTTTGTATGTGTGCTTGTCTGCACACTTGTGTGTGCCCATCTGCACATCATGATCATTTGCCCTTTTTCTTTGTTTTTTTTTAATCTGTAGCAGACTTAGTCTGGTTTTGATCTGGCTCTAGACATGTGACCTATTTTTATTTATTCATTTTTTTACTTATAGGCATTTTAGCTTTTTTGCTAGGGAAGTTGTATTTTGTTTATTTACATTTATATATATATATATATATATATATATATATATGTAAACAAATATATGGATATAGATCCGACAGTATGAAGAAAAATATGCTGAAAAAACAAACAAAAATCCTAATATGCGATTATGCTGTTTTAATGTTTAATGTCAACGTCGGACGTTTCGGTCTAATAGACCATCTTCAGGATATATTCATAAAACATAATTAACATAGACCATATATAATTCAACATGAAAAAGACGATGTACATAAAAGCATTACCAATCCAAACAGATAACTGAAATCTTTTATAAGATCAGCGTTCCGTTTAAATATGATCATGTCATCGTCACGTGGGTGATGTTGTGAAAACGTATTCCTAAAATTTGAGTATTTTGAATGAAAAGCAAAAAGAATTTTATTTTGATCTAAAACTTATATGTACATTTGTCAAGCATTAATCTTGCTAGAAAAGGGGAAATATTAAAGAAGCCAGGTCTAGTGTTCACTGTGCGTATATATATATATATATATATATATATATATATGATACCACTGTTGCTAATGCTTAAATGGTAAATACTTATACGTACACATACATACACAACACACATGCATACATACACATATTTATATATGTTCATGGGGTTATTATTTCATTTTTTAATTGGGTTTGGTGATATCATAAGTATTAATTGTACAGGGTTATATTTATAATTAAGTTTATTTATTATTGTTAGAATTTATGGGTGTATGCAGGTACAAGTACACTTAAGTCTGTGTTTTGTTAATAATAGACTAGTGCATAAATAGTGAAGTTATTTGATTTATATAGTACACACTCCCACACACACAGGTATATGTAATTGTTAGGTAGTATATATAATTAAAATAAGTATATGCTTATATCATATGTTATTGTTTATTAAATATTCAATTTTTATTTTTATTTAATAGTTTATTTATTTCTGCCTTAGTGCTATATATTAAGGTATTAATTATGGTAGGTTAGGTTTGTTCATTTTTTTGGTGTTTGTGTGTGTGTGCATGTCCACACATGTGCATAAGTGTGTACTTTAATATTTGTTCATTTGTATTATTTATATTTTATTTGTTTCTTTTATTTATTTATTTATTTAATGTTTGTATTATATTTTTTAACTTTATACTTATTTATATTTATTTGTTTAATTTTAGGTAGTGCTTACATGGCAAAGTAAATATTTATATGCCTACATTTGTCCATTATTTCAGTTTTCTTGTTTAAGAAATTTTTTAGGTTTTTAAAAGTGTTGCTAATTTTTCCTCTAAGGATAATTTACAATTTTTGCTGTTAATACTGTATGGGGCTGATCTTTTTAAATTTTCCATGTGATTTTAGTAGTGATATTGTTTTCATTTTGGCTCCATATGTATGTTGATAGGGTTGTATTGTTTGGGCATTTTTTTCTTTTGAATGATATTTTGTGGTTATATCTTTCTTTAAAACTTTTTTTTGTAACCACTATGTGAATTTTTTGCCTGTGTCAATGTTATTTAAAACGGCTTTGTATATTATGTTAATGGTTAAGCATTTATTGCTATGTGGGTAATTTTCTTTGTTTCTGCAGTTACATTTAATGTTGTTATTTTGCTATATATTATTGTTTTTGGTTGTGTTGAGTATTTTTTTTTTTATTGTGGTTAGTTATTATTTTCTTCATGTTATCCATGCAGCTGTAACTACCTGACTGTGAGCATCATTTAACAAGAAATGTTGCTTTTGACACATTTAATTGTTCACATCACCTTCTCCATAATAAATTGTTAGTATTTTGTAAGATATGATTTATTACAAGAAAAAATGTATAACTCTTGGAAATCATAATTTCTGTGAGCAAACCAACTTTCTTAGGAAGGGGTCTGCTACTTCTTAAGGCTTTTTTAGAAAAATATGTTGCTTACAATTTTTAGAATTTATTTTTTTACTTTTTATTTATTTGTTTTGAAAATGTTAAGAAAACTGCCTGGTGCACAAAAGGTGTTAGAAATGTCCATTTTCCCCATAGTAACTTATGCCTGTGTTATTTATAACTTAATTTCAAAATTTAAACAATTTCAACTAAACCACTAATTTGGTAGATCTTCCTTGCATTTATTTAGAGTAGATGAGTAGTAGCAAATAATTTATTGTTATTTAAACAAAATACTATGATTAAATAATAAACTTCTTTGTGTGTCTTGTTTCTTTAAAGATCACTTTCTTGGTCTTTCCTTGAATATTTTGACGATAAAACTTTGCTTTATTAAGTTTGGAGCATTTTATAGAATAATAGATAGCGGCACAAATTGAGGAATCGGAGAGCTGAATTCGAATTCTAGTCGAATCCATTACGTTCACTTACGTGCTAATACTAATGGGAAAGGTATGAATCCCCTTTTCTCCACCCCCAGCTATGGGTAAATATCAGGACAGACTTGGTTCTGTAACCTTGGATAGCAGCTGGTCTACCGCAGAAAGAAATGGCAACCTACTGCGGGAAAAATCTGCCTCGTCAGTCATCTATTGAAAGATATATGATCGCCTAAGAAGAGTGTATCACGCATGGCACAACTGATTGACTGACCTAAAATAATTGTCTTTGCTCTCAAAGTAATAATTATTTTTTAATGGAAGAATAAAAACACCAAAAATAGCATAAGACTTTTTTTAATTCCTAAATGTATTTTCCTATTGGTATTAGTACTAGTATATATATATATATATATATATATATATATATATATATATATATATATATATATATTAAATTAGGTTTACATGCGTAAAAAAAAAAGCTTACAATCTGTTCAATTATTGAACTTTTCATTCATTGATAATTACTGAAACTCGAGTCTTTAAAGGAAAAATATTAAAGAGGCGTTAGAAAACACCTGTTGATTATTTAGGGACACAAAAAAGTGATTGTTTGATTTTGAAAATAAGAAACAATTAATTACAGTTGTCATTGATCGTGACTCTAATCATAAAATTTATGACATGAAAATAAATTCCAGATGTCATGTGTAAGGAAAAGCCGAACCCAATGTTTTAGAAAATATTCATAAAAAAAAGCCTGTTATTTTTCTTTGATTACTTCTCAAAGGGAAAAATTGTCAATATGCCGCCGATATAATTATTTTTTAAAGTAATAATAAAAACAATTAATCATTTTCTCATTTTTAACTTTTTCTTTTTTGTTCTTTATAAAAAAAATAAGGGGCTTTTTCTTTCGTTTTTATGGGGTTCAGTGATAAAATAACTAATTAATTCTTTTTAACAGGTTTGTTTGTTTTTTTTATTCAGAGGCAAAACCGCAAAATCAATTTAAAAAAAAGAAAAAAAAAGAGGTTCAAATTTTTTTCTATTTTCCTGCTAAAGTAAACTAAAATAAAAGAATCACGACTTGAAAATAATGCCATCAAGGAATTCTTCAATCAAACCATTCTTTTAATAATAAAAAAAACTTAAAGTTAGGATTTGATTCTATGTTTTATCCTCGGTTAAATTTTTGAAAGTTGTCGGAAAATATAAACATATGTTAAAAATAAACACAAAAACAAGAGAAGACGAAAACTTCAAATTGAATGTTTTTGTTGCTAAAAAGAGGAAACAGTTCATAAAAGTTGAGGATTAAACAAAAATATTAAAACAAAAGACGTAAAAATATAGTCAAAACAAAAACATAAGCCAAATGTTGGATGAATGTAATAAAAATTGTACTTTCAAATTAAAGAAAAATCATATTACCTGCAATCTTGACAAAATGAAATGATTTTTTCGTGTGATGATTCTTACTCAAGGGAAACAACTCTTGGTCGACGAAATTTTTTATATTTTTAGAATCTTTGTTGCTGCTACTAGAAGACGGCAATGTTTAGAGATAAGTAAATTATTTGTATCTATATTTTCTAACAAATACTTTCTTAATAATAGTTGCTGCATATTTACTGTCTGAAAACTTAAATCGTTTGAAACAATTAAAAGTGTAATCGAGTAAATCATAAATACAATTATTTCTTATTCACATGTAAAACACATGTGTGTCGACTCGTGCTTTTCAAAGGAAGCACTAATTGATCCATTTCTCACCAATTAGGTAGAATGTGACACATGGCCAGTGTAACTAGGGAACTCAGACGCGTTCGCTTAGAGATTGCTTAGGTACAGGAAAATTTTGAGCTAAAATAACTAGTTAAAAGCCTCTTTTTTAGTGAAATTTTAGTTTTATTTGAAAAAAACAAAAATCCGAACGAAAAGAAAAATTTCGGTATGTAAATAAAATTTTTAGACATTTTAAAAACATTTCCATGTTCCTTCGTTACTCATCGAACGGCCATGAATATGATAGACGGAAAATGTAAACAACAAATTTTAAAATATCTTTAAAATTCAATATTTGAGCTAGAGATGTAGTTCAAATTCACTTAGTAAATTCAAGTTAACTGGATTTTGTAAAAAAAAAAGTAATGCTTACTTTTTTGTTTTTAAACACCATGAAAAGAACGTTTATCTGTCTACATTTCTGAGATGAGGTATTATTATGTACACAGTACACTATTTACACATCATTCGGACTATTGTCCTCATCTTTGTTGCCATATTTATTACAACGTTTCGGCCTTTGTACGCTCCGGTCTTCTTCAGGTGGTTGGAATGTCGAACTGAACCCTTTATTTCGCTCACTGGGGTAGACTGTTCTAGTTCCACGTGCCATGTTTAAATGGATGTCAGTTATCAGTTAATTAACAGGGTATTGAACTCACACTCTTTGGGTCCTGTCACTTGATCTAACCTTTATCCACTGTGCCATATGTGCTCAAGGCAGTGGAGAACTTGGAGAGGGTAATTAACAGGAGATAACTGATAATTGATGTACATAATACCTATTCTCAGAAATATAGACAATTCCTCTCTCCAAGTTCTCCACTGCCTTAACCGGGTATTGAACTCACGCTCTATGGATCCTCTCACTGGATCTAATCAATGCCTTTATCCACTGTGCCATGTGTCCTTGTTTGTGTGTTTTTTTTACGAATGTAGGCTGTGATGTCATAGGTTAAAAAGAGTAATTCTCTACTGGCATCCCTGACTAATGCAGAACACCAGTAGTACAATAATCAAGAAACTGGTATTTCTTATGCTTAAAAATAAATTATAACCTTGTATAACCATTAGTTTAAGAATATATTTTTTATTTTATGCAGTATACACTTTTATGAAATTGAGTAGAATTAATTTTATTTTTATACTATATTAGAAGTAAGAAGAAGAAATGAATTAAAAGCTAGTTAAATGATGACATCAAACTTTGTCAATTCTTCAAACATATCATTATTTGTTATTAGCATTCAGATGAATTCATAATTGCACTAAAAAATTTAAAGGATTCATTGTGAGAAAAGATTTTGAGAGAATGTCAAATCCTTTATCCTGAGTATTTTGAATGACACAAATAAAAAAAAAACAAAAAAAACCCCAAAAATCTTGTACACTGAGTGAAATTTGCAGAGAAAAAATATTACAATGACAAATTAGAAGATTAATTTTTACTGAAGTTTGAATATTTAACATGGAAAACTTGTATATTTCTTGCTACAGTTAAGCATAACTTATCAATTTCCTAAAACACAAAAGCAAGTATAATTAGGTTAATGAAGTTAAAGAACAACAATAAAAGTTAGGAAAATGAAATAATTTTACAGATATTCAATTCTCAATGCTCTATCTATTTAGTATTAATTAATTATAACATTAGCTTAGTATACTTTGCAGGTAATTATAACTGTAGTTAATTATAAGTTTGCCTTAGTATATCCTATAGTTAATTATAACTGATGATTATAACTGTACTTAATTATAACTTTGCCTTAGTATATTCTGTGGTTAATTATAACTGATAATTATAACTGTAGTTAATTATAACTTTGCCTTAGTATATTCTGTGGTTAATTATGACTGATAATTATAACTGTAGTTAATTATAACTTTGTCTTAGTATATTCTGTGGTTAATTATAACTGTAGTTAATTATAACTTTGCCTTAGTATATTCTGTGGTTAATTATAACTGATAATTATAACTGTAGTTAATTATAACTTTGTCTTAGTATATTCTGTGGTTAATTATAACTGTAGTTAATCATAACTTTGCCTTAGTATATTCTTAGTTAATTATAACTGATAATTATAACTGTAGTTAATTATAACTTTGCCTTAGTATATTCTGTGGTTAATTATGACTGATAATTATAACTGTAGTTAATTATAACTTTGTCTTAGTATATACTGTGGTTAATTATAACTGTAGTTAATTATAACTTTGCCTTAGTATATTCTGTGGTTAATTATGACTGATAATTATAACTGTAGTTAATTATAACTTTTTTAGTATATTCTGTGGTTAATTATAACTGTAGTTAATTATAACTTTGCCTTAGTATATTCTGTGGTTAATTATAACTGATAATTATAACTGTAGTTAATTATAACTTTGCCTTAGTATATTCTGTGGTTAATTATAACTGATAATTATAACTGTAGTTAATTATAACTTTGTCTTAGTATATTCTGTGGTTAATTATAACTGTAGTTAATTATAACTTTGCCTTAGTATATTCTGTGGTTAATTATAACTGTAGTTAATTATAACTTTGCCTTAGTATATTCTGTGGTTAATTATAACTGATAATTATAACTGTAGTTAATTATAACTTTGTCTTAGTATATTCTGTGGTTAATTATAACTGTAGTTAATTATAACTTTGCCTTAGTATATTCTGTGGTTAATTATGACTGATAATTATAACTGTAGTTAATTATAACTTTGTCTTAGTATATTCTGTGGTTAATTATAACTGTAGTTAATCATAACTTTGCCTTAGTATATTCTGTGGTTAATTATAACTGATAATTATAACTGTAGTTAATTATAACTTTGCCTTAGTATATTCTGTGGTTAATTATAACTGATAATTATAACTGTAGTTAATTATAACTTGCCTTAGTATATTCTGTGGTTAATTATAACTGTAGTTAATTATAACTTTGTCTTAGTATATTCTGTGGTTAATTATGACTGATAATTATAACTGTAGTTAATTATAACTTTGTCTTAGTATATACTGTGGTTAATTATAACTTGTAGTTAATTATAACTTTGCCTTAGTATATTCTGTGGTTAATTATGACTGATAATTATAACTGTAGTTAATTATAACTTTGTCTTAGTATATACTGTGGTTAATTATAACTGTAGTTAATTATAACTTTGCCTTAGTATATTCTGTGGTTAATTATGACTGATAATTATAACTGTAGTTAATTATAACTTTGCCTTAGTATATTCTGTGGTTAATTATAACTGTAGTTAATTATAACTTTGCCTTAGTATATTCTGTGGTTAATTATAACTGATAATTATAACTGTAGTTAATTATAACTTTGCCTTAGTATATTCTGTGGTTAATTATAACTGATAATTATAACTGTAGTTAATTATAACTTTGTCTTAGTATATTCTGTGGTTAATTATAACTGTAGTTAATTATAACTTTGCCTTAGTATATTCTGTGGTTAATTATTAACTGTAGTTAATTATAACTTTGCCTTTAGTATATTCTGTGGTTAATTATAACTGATAATTATAACTGTAGTTAATTATAACTTTGTCTTAGTATATTCTGTGGTTAATTATAACTGTAGTTAATTATAACTTTGCCTTAGTATATTCTGTGGTTAATTATGACTGATAATTATAACTGTAGTTAATTATAACTTTGTCTTAGTATATACTGTGGTTAATTATAACTGTAGTTAATTATAACTTTAACTTTTGTCTTTAGTATTCTGTGGTTAATTATGATGATAATTATAACTGTAGTTAATTATAACTTTGCCTTAGTATATTCTGGTTAATTATAACTGTAGTTAATTATAACTTTGCCTTAGTATATTCTGTGGTTAATTATAACTGATAATTATAACTGTAGTTAATTATAACTTTGCCTTAGTATATTCTGCAGTTAATTATAACTGATAATTATAACTGTAGTTAATTATAACTTTGTCTTAGTATATTCTGTGGTTAATTATAACTGTAGTTAATTATAACTTAACTTTAGTATATTCTGTGGTTAATTATAACTGTAGTTAATTATAACTTTTGCCTTAGTATATTCTGTGGTTAATTATAACTGATAATTATAACTGTAGTTAATTATAACTTTGTCTTAGTATATTCTGTGGTTAATTATAACTGTAGTTAATTATAACTTTGCCTTAGTATATTCTGTGGTTAATTATGACTGATAATTATAACTGTAGTTAATTATAACTTTGTCTTAGTATATTCTGTGGTTAATTATAACTGTAGTTAATCATAACTTTGCCATAGTATATTCTGTGGTTAATTATAACTGATAATTATAACTGTAGTTAATTATAACTTTGCCTTAGTATATTCTGTGGTTAATTATAACTGATAATTATAACTGTAGTTAATTATAACTTTGCCTTAGTATATTCTGTGGTTAATTATAACTGTAGTTAATTATAACTTTGTCTTAGTATATTCTGTGGTTAATTATGACTGATAATTATAACTGTAGTTAATTATAACTTTGTCTTAGTATATACTGTGGTTAATTATAACTGTAGTTAATTATAACTTTGCCTTAGTATATTCTGTGGTTAATTATAACTGTAGTTAATTATAACTTTGCCTTAGTATATTCTGTGGTTAATTATAACTGTAGTTAATTATAACTTTGCCTTAGTATATTCTGTGGTTAATTATAACTGTAGTTAATTATAACTTTGCCTTAGTATATTCTGTGGTTAATTATAACTGTAGTTAATTA